CACTTTTCTCATTGTTCCATTTTGTTATCATTGATGATCTTTTATTGTGGCTCACTTGTATTTGTATTTTATCATAGCTCTATATCAAATATATATGTATAAATATATATACAGAAAGCATGGTATGTGTATACATACATATATACATGAAACATAATACATAAAGTGTTTTTTACTTTCTAGAGTTTCAGGAACCCACTAAGGGTCTTGTCATGTAGTCCTCACAGATGGCTAAGGGCTATAGTCCTCTAGATGTCTAAAATTTGACAAAGCAGCAAGCTGAACTCTGACAAATAGAAACATATCAAGGCTGGTGGAGACATGGATGATCTCATACAGCATCCAGTTTCTGAAAATTTTATAATGATAACATTTTACCGTTTAACCTAAGAGAGGCAAATAAATAGTGCAGGGAATCTTAGGAAAGAAGAAGAAGATAGTAAGACCTGGAGAGGACAGGAGCTCCACAAGGAGAGCAACAGAACCAAAATATCTGGGCACAGTGGTCTTTTCTGAGACTGATACTCCAACCAAGGACCATGCATGGATATAGAACCCCTGCACAGATGTAGCCCATGGCAGCTTAGTATTCAAGTGGGTTCCTTAGTAGGGGTGTGAACATGGACTGTGTCTGACATGAACTCAGTGGCTGGCTCTTTGATCACCTTCCCCTAATGGGGTAGCAGCCTTGCCAGGCCACAGAGGAGGACAATGCAGCCAGTTCTGATGAGACCTGATAAGTTAGGGTTAGATGGAAGGGGAGGAGGACCTCCCCTATCCGTGGACTTGGAGAGGGGCATGGGAGGAGATGAGGGAGGGCGGATTGGGAGAGGATGAGGGAGGGGGCTATAACTGGGATACAAAGAGAATCAACTGTAATTAATATAAAAATAAGGATTTAATTTAAAAAAGAGAGGCAAATAAGTACTTCTGAATTGACAGCTCTACCTCTGAGATACTGCAGTAGTGATACCATACAAAGCTTACAGTCATAGGTGCATCGCTTCTTATGAGGTAAAACAAAAACTCCTTTGTGATGTTTTTCATGGGCCCTCTGAGACTTGATAAAGATATGATGATGGGCTATTAAAAAATATCGATACAGATGCTGAGACTTGTAGGCAACCTTTGGGCAGAGTGCAGGGAATCTTAGGAAAGAAGTGGGAAACAGTAAGATCTGGAGAGGACAGGAACTCCACAAGGAGAGCAATAGAACCAAAAAATCTGAGCACAGGGGTCTTTCCTGAGACTGATATTCCAACCAAGGACTATGCATGGAGATAACCTAAGACCCCTGCACAGATGTAGCCCATGGCAGCTCAGTATCCAAGTGGGTTCCATAGGAATAGGAACAGGGACTGTCTCTGACATGAACTGATTGGCCTGCTCTTTAATTACCTCCCCGAGGGGGAAGCAGCATTACCAGGCCACAGAAGATGACAATGCAGCCACTCCTGATGAGGCCTAACTGACTAGGATCAGAAGGAAGGAAAAGGAGACCTTCCCTATCAGTGGACTTGGGGAGGGGCATGCACACAGAGGGTGGAGGAAGGGAGGGATTGGGACGGGAGGTGGGAGGGAACCACAGGGGGGATACAAAGTAAATAAAGTGTAATTAATAAAGAATTAAAAAAATCATGATTGGCTCTCTGTTCCACTCAGCTAACAGTTAAATATTTTCTATATAAGCATTGAAGTGACTGTAAAGACACTTTGCTCCTTTCCAAGCAAGAAGACATTGTTTTCTTAAGTGATTGAGGAATATAGGAACGTATCCCCAAGAAGAGGGCTTCCTTACAATAGGTGAGGCCAGTGAAATTAAAAAGGAGGAAACTGTGAAAGATAATTCTGGAAAGATACAGAATCCTCGTAATCTAGGAAGATTTTCCAGAAGGTAAAGCAAACCATTTCCAGCTTGTAAGAATAGACTAAGAATCCAAAATTGTTGGTCTTTTAAACACAGAAATAACAAAATTAGGTGTTCATCAGTATGCATGAAATAAAAGTTCTTGTCAGATATTTTATAAATCACACCCCCAAATTTAGCCAGCTTTGACCTAAACAAATAAAATTCTTTTTGTGAACACTCTACAACTTTCTGTATCCACATATATCCTTTATAGTACAACTTCCCTCTCTCAGTGCCAAAAAGAACGCAACCTTTAACATACGCATATATAGCTTCCTGTAACTTATAAAAATAAATGTTAGGGAGATGGTCAGTGGAAAAAAATGCTTACTGCCTAAGCATGAGGACCAGAATTTGGATCGCCAGCATCAATATAAAAGCTAAGCAGGTTTGTTGCCCTGCCTATAATCCCAGTGCTTGGGAGGTGGTGACAGGGGAGTCCTGGGGCAAGCTGGCCAGCTAGAGTAGCTGCATCTATGAGCTCCAAGTTCAGCAAGAGACCCTACTTCAGTAAATAAAAAGAAGAGAGACTGAGGGAGGCACTCAACATGAACCCCTGGCCTCCACATGCAACTGTATGTATATGCACCCACATGCATGTGTCTACACATAAACACATGAATGCACCATACATGCATATGTACATGCACAAATAAGTATATTCATATACTATACACACACACACACACACACACACACACACATATATATATATATCCATCATTCTGTGCTAATGCTTCAACATTTCCTTAGAAATAATTAAATTAGGCATCAGCTAGAGTTTTCAGTTACCTTAAGGTCTTACAAATTATCTTAAGCTGATAGAATATAAAACAATTACAGTTGAATTAAAGTTTGCAATAATAATGGTTCAACTTGGTTAAACAAATGTACCTTTTGCATACTCTTAAGCCTTTAGTAGAAGTAATGTTAGCTGATTCATTCTATTAACCTATAAAAGGTTTGGGAAGAACATATCTAAGTAAACTAAAAATGCTCCTGTATATTATACCTAACACTGATAAATAGGATATAACTGATTTTAATAAGTTAGTAAATTATTAAATTGGCCTTAATTATTAAAAATTTACATAAACTAAATGATCTTGAATTCTTAAAGTACTTGCATTTTTTAAAATATACAGTCCCACTGTGTAGTCATGGCTTTGCTGTGTAGCCCAGGCTGACCTTGAAGTCAAAAAGATCTCCCTGCCTCTGCCTACCAAGTGCTGGGATTAAAGCCATGCAACCACCACACTTGGCACTTGGATAGGTTTTCGGATATTACTTTAAAGTGCTTTGGAAACCCTGAAAGTTCAGTTTCCTTATTTTGTGGGAATTTTAGCAATCTTATCTAATGTGTATTTATTTATATAAGTCAATGAGAATAAACCCCCCTCATCTCAGAGCTTGCTTACATACTTTTTGTTATTATTGTTTTAATGCTGGGAATCAAACCCAGATCTTTGTATATGCTAGTTATTGTTCTACCTCCGAGCTTTATCCCTAGCCCTTGGTTTTATGAGACAGGGTTTTGCTGTATAACCCATGCTGGCCTGCAACTTAGGATTCTGTGTCTGCCCACTGAGTGTTGGGATTACACATGTATGCCACCTACTTTATGAGATTTTGGATTTCTAATTTGGTAATCCCATCTAGAAGTAGGAAAAGATTGCACACTCCCACAGAAAACATAGAACTTTCAGAATTGTTGATACGGCCATCGTTCATGACCATCTTCTCTTCCCTCTTTTTCACCTAGCACTTAGTATTACATTCCAAAAGTGTTAGATGATCATTAGGATAACACATTGATTTTTATTATGCACTAAGACAGTAGATTTATAAAATGTAAACTTTCAGAACTAGCATGTAGTAAGCATATGCAAGAACACTCAACGCTACACATTTAATTCTCACAGAGAATTCATGGTTGAATTCGTCCTTTCTTTCCTTGGTCTCTTCCCTGTTGTGTATCTATTGGCAAGCTATTCTTTAGCTAGATCAATTGCTGTGCTCCCCTCAGTGATGTACAGTAGTGTCCAGTGATGTTTTTACCAATTTCCTGCTCACTGTTGTACCTGTTGTAGCCTGTGAAGCAGTTCAGCATACGAAATCTCATTGGAAAGAGATTTCATGAAGTTTTTGCATTATGTAGGCACTAGAAAGATTCTCACAGTAGCAATGATGCCATTTGAAATGGCCATGTCTAAAAATTTTGTTTCAAATAAAAATCTCATGGCAAACAGATATCGGGGGGAGGCGCTGACTGTTTGAAATATCTGTGGAAGCAAAAGAAACTGTGGTACTTGGAATGATACTTTAAAATAAGTCCTGAGTTCTAACATACTCTTATATATCTAATCAGCAAGGCTCAATAAAAGAACAAGTAAGGTTGATGTGAGGATAAAGTGATGCAATACGAAAATGTTACAGGACTCAGTGAAATCGGTGACAGTGGTTTTTGTGAAGCAAAATACCTTTAGCAAAGGCTTCTTTAACTCCTTATTGCAAAATTACATTCATAGAGAGGCAGCCACATTAATGTGCCCAAAAGGTTATGATTTGTCTATTCTGCACTCAGTTTTTATAAGTAACAAGTGTCAATGCATACTAAAATAAAAAATAACCAACTTGTGGGTTGTGTCAGAGAGTCAGTATAAAGAATCCAATGTCCATCTTCTGTAAAACTGTATTTAAGGCTCCACCTAGGTCTTTCTTCCCTAGAGAGGAATAAATGGGACTACAAGGTTTTCTGTTTGTTTGTTTGTTTGTTTGTTTGTTTGTTTAAAATGATCCCCTAATTGCCCAAGAAAGATTGTCTTATTCAATATAGTTAATAATAATATAATGCTTCGAAACCTCTGGAATTGTAAGAAAATGTTACCAATAATTCTATATATTTACTTTATCGAAATACATTCTCTCATCATTCTGGGCCATTTACTGTATAATCCTCATAGGTGAATTTTTGTTTCTCTTAAAAAAGGGAGACTTTATGGGACTAGATCTCAAAGGTTAGATGCTTGGCTGTAAATATTCCCTTGGACTGCTTTTCAGTTGTTGGCTGTAGCAACTTGTTTTCTTGCAGAGATGAAGCATCTGGTTTTTGTTATCTCAATGATGCTGTCCTGGGAATATTACGATTGCAACGGAAATTTGACCGTATTCTCTATGTGGATTTGGATCTACACCATGGAGATGGTAAGTACTTCAGTTTCAAAGATGCTTTTCTATGAGGACAGCAGGTTTTGATCAGTAAAGGTACTCCTAGGCAACTAATAAAAGGAGAAATGGCTAATGCAATTGAAATTTTCCTAATTGTCATTTCTGAAGAAGGTGGTACATAGATTCCTCTGAGTAATGCAGTTCCTTTCTGCTGCCTAAGCCAGGCAGGCTCCTGTCATTTCCTCTCCTGTCTCCTAAAGCTAAACTTTATAGTAGAGAATGGGAAGAATGGGGAAATCTTGGTTAGTGTTTACTCCACTGTCCAGAAACCACTTTGGAGCCCTTTGAATGGGTTCTAGGGAAACTCTGGGGTTAGAGGTGATGGTCTTCTCTTTTCTTGTCATTGTTTCTTTCAAGTTAGAAGGACTGACATTTTGCAGTTTTCACCAATAGGCTACCAATTCATGGAGGGATCACTTTCTTTGTGGAACCAACATATATAATCTTGGGATAGGAGTGTATTGCTAGAAACAAAGAATTAAAGAGAACAGAACAGGGTTAAAAACAAACATACCACACTGAGAACCTTGCTCACTGAATTTCTCACTACTTGCCAGGGTGGTACACAGCCTTGATGTAAAACATTCAAAGCCTCTTCATTGCCCATAACAAGTGACAGCATGTCACAAGGCTTTATTTTCATATGACCGGTGAGCTAAGAATGGGTTTTCATTTTTATTTTCATTTTTGGTTTTTCTACAGAGGGATTTTTCTATGTAGCCTTGGCTGGCTGTCCTAGAACTTGCTCTGTAGACTCACTCTCAAACTCACAGAGATCCGCCTGCCTCTGCCTCCCAAATGCTGGGATTAAAGGCCTATGCCACCACCATACAGTGAGTCTTTTTTTTTTATTTTTTAACAAGGTTGTACAGTACATATGTGTATGTGTATGTGTATGTGTATAAGTAAATGTGTTCAGAGTCCATATGTAGTTTGGCGTCAAGGATGTTTACTGTCTAGCCACACGTACTTTGATGACCTGTAGCCTAGAGAAATGGTTCTCATACATGACTGTGCATCTGGGTGACCTGGGGGAGTTTGCTTTAAGCGCAGATTGCCGTGCCACAGGTATCAGCTACGCAGAGGAAGTAGGCCAGACATACAGTCTACACTGTAAAAGCATCTCAGTTATGTCACAGACCACCCCATGAGACTGTGTTCTTTATGGAAAAGTAGACCTTTTACCTTTCAAGGCCTCAGACAGGCCTGTCCTCATCTTTTCTAACAATCTCTTGCCACTTTTCTATTCAATGAGCACGTCTCAGTCTTCCGGACATATCTCTCTAATCTCACCTCCTTGACGTTGCTTCCCTTTTCCTTACGTGAGCTGCCTCCAGCCTCACAGCAGCCCGAGATTCTACCTATTCATTCAAGTCCCAGCAGCCATGGATTATACTAATCACTCCAGCCCAAGAGGACTCTCGTGTTGCTGAGACCCTGTATAGTTCCTATCACTAATCACTGTTTCATGCTGTATTGTTTTGTACTATTCATCTTTGTCAGTACTGTTCATACAGTAGCAGCTCATTCCAATATTTTATCATGAATGAACAAACGCTTATGGAATTCCGAGTATTAGTACCAGAGTTCAAAAATAGAACCAACTCTGCCGAATCATGGAAAAATGAAATAAGACTGTCACCTGAAACCATTCTCCCCATTTGCAGTGCAATTTCTACACCATTTAGGGTTTCCTGTTTCAGCCAACTTTTACGGTGTGTTTCATTTCACTTTATTTCCCCTCTTCATCACCTCCCATCCAGCGACCTCTGCCCTACCCCCACACTCATCCACATTTGCTTTATTTTAAATCTCCCATGATTCTCCTGTGGTGGCTTCACTGGCCACTCCTACCCACTCTCACCTTGCCCTACCTAACCTCACTCCTCTTTCATACCAACTCCACATCCCCTGCCCCTCTGACTATGCCCCTTTTTAAAGTAGGATTTTTTAAAACCATGCCTGATAGCATTTCCTTTGCGACAAATGGCCACTGAACACATGAAATGTTGCTCAATACCCTAATAGGAAGAGAAATTCAGCTTCTGCCTAACATATAAAAGAAATACTAACTGCCAGTATTAGTCATCACAAGAGAAAACATGAATTTGCATACAGGATTGGTGGAAATGTAAATTACTACTTTTCTGGATGGATAAATCATTAACATTTTCATAAAGTGCCCTGGTTTAGAACTTACTTCTCCCTCCATTGAAATGGTATTTTCATTTATTTTATTTTGTTTAGTTCATGCTTTCTCCCTGGAGTCTTTAACTGGTTTTAACCACATCCCTAGGGCAAAACACAGGGCTTGGGAAATTCAAACATACCTGTTATATACAAATAGAGTTCATATTTTTTTAAGGTCTCTGTTGGCCTCTAATAAAGACTTAAATACATTTAAGTCAACACAGTGACAATCTCTTTGTTTGAAATATAAAGGAGTGCAGTGCCTGGATTTGCTAACAGCCCTTCCATTTCAGAGTGTCTGGGTATGACTGTGAGATCCTGAGAGGAAAGGGGTAGCATTGAGCAGCATGGCCAACGCATAAGTGATGGCTTTTGAGGGTTACTTTAAATTGGAGCTTTTATCTCCCAGGCATCTAGTCATTTTCTGGCTGTTTAAGAGCAAAGAAGACATCTGTCCACAAAAACTTCCCCCAATCTTCCTCCAGGCTTTAAAATGGTTTTAAAGCTGCTATTAACAACTGAAGGTGTCCCCTACTCTGGGCACACACCGAACCAGTTTGAAGTTGGGGAACAGCAAGTTCCTTTAAAGTTTTATTACTAACCTGAGTTTCAAGAATTTAATTGTATTTCTGTCACTTCCTTTAAGACGTTCCAAAATACATTTGTTTTAGTAAATAAATAAACAGAATGCAACATCTTACTATGAGGAAGCTGTTGAAGAACAGACGTGACTATTTTTCAGCAGAAAGATGTAATGTAAGTTGCTTACTGCTTGTGAGACTTCAGGTTACTCACTTTTATAACCAAATCTGTATTATAGAAAGGCACCTCATCATTAAGTTTTAACTAAATAAAGCCTAATCACTGATTTATTGGTTATATTTTAAAGAATTAACCATATTATAGTTTTTTGAAAAGAGACTCAAGAATCTAACAAGAAACACTCAAGCAAAACAGACCATGAACCGTTCCTGGCTTGGTGCCACTTTTCTCTACTCAGGCCTGTGGAGAGAGCCTTGGTCCTGGGCTCTTGCCCTTTCCTACCTTTTATAATAGAACCCAGGCATCCTATTGCTTGGAAAGGGGAAGCTCAGTAATTGCTGCAATCAGAAACCAAGTTTGTGTTCTTTCATTTCTCTGTTCATTATCTATTACAGCTGCCTTTTCTCACTTTCTTCCCATAGCTACTTGTTAGATTTTTCAGGTGTTGAAAACAGGAGTTGCATATCTGACATGATCCTTTTGATGTTTCTCTCTGGTAGGTGTACAAGATGCCTTCAGTTTTACACCCAAAGTTATGACTGTGTCCCTGCACAAATTCTCTCCAGGATTTTTTCCAGGCAAGTCAACAGCATGCTCCCCATCCATTACATGTCTAGATACTAAAAATCTTTTACATGTTTTTAAACTTTTTAAATAAATTTTATTAATTACACTTTATTCATTTTGTATCCCCCCTGTAGCTCCCTCCTCCCCTCCCAATTCCTCCCTTCTTCTCCCTTCTCCATGCATGCCCGTCCCCAGTCCACTAATAAGGGAGGTCTTCCTTTCCTTCCTTCTGATCCTAGTCTATCAGGTCTCATCAGGAGTGGCTGCATTGTCTTCCTCTGTGGCCTGGTAAGGCTGCTCCCCCCCCCCAGGGGGAGGTGATCAAAGAGCAGGCCAATCAGTTCATGTCAGACACAGTTCCTATTCCCATTACTAGGGAACCCACTTGGACACTGAACTGCCATGGGCTACCTCTGTGCAGGGGTTCTAGGTTATCTCCATGAGTGGTCCTTGGTTGGAATATCAGTCTCAGAAAAGACCCCTGTGCCCAGATTTTTTGGTTCTGTTGCTCTCCTCGTGGAGCTTCTATCCTCTCCAGGTCTTAACTATTTCCCACTTCTTTCAAAATATCCCCTGCACTCTGCCCAAAGGTTGGCCATAAGTCTCAACATCTGCTTTGATACCCTGCAGGGCAGAGGCTTTCAGAGGCCCTCTGTGGCAGGCTCCTGATTTGTTCCTTGTTTTCTTTTACATGTTTTTATATCTTATTTTTATATATTTCTATGCTGGTAACACTTTATTTGTGCTATGCTATGCAAAATTTTAACACATATCACTTCCAATGACAATGACAAAGGCAATGACAATGAATTCTATTTTTTTAATTCCAGGTGACTTTTATGGCCTGTTGACAGACAGACCACTTACAATTTTATCACATACTACATGTAGTTCTGATAACTGCAAGCGACATATAATATTAGCCCTTGTTATTTCATTTCATCCAGTAAAATGTAAATTAGTATTTTTCAATTTCCTTATTGTTTTCCTGTTTTCCCCGACATCATTTGTAATTATTATTTCTCTAGATTGTTTTTCATAGTTTCATCTCCTTATGAAAAACGAAGAATACAAAATTGTTTTCCTGAGTGGCCATTTTGCTGTTCTGAATTGCTCTTGGACAGTCCTTTGTGTTTTCTAGTGCTCATGTTCTTAAAGACTGTTCCTGTCTGTTACAGGAACAGGTGACATGTCTGATGTTGGCCTGGGGAAAGGACGATACTATAGTGTCAATGTGCCCATTCAGGATGGCATACAGGATGAGAAGTACTATCACATCTGTGAAAGGTATGGCAGTAACACTGAACTGGTCACAGGGAGATATATGATCTATGAAGGGTGCCGTGTTTCTCAATCTCACAATTCTTGCTTTCAAGGAACTATTTGAAAAAGAAAATCACTGTGTGCTCACAGACACCCCCCCCTTTTTGAGGCGTGGTCTCTCTCTATAGCCCTGGCTGTCCTGGAACCCTGTATGTAGACCAGGCTGAGCTCAAACTAACAGAGATCTGCCTGCCTCTTGTCTTTCAACTGCTGGAATTAAAGGTGTGTATACCATATGCCCAGCTCACTTAGCTTTTAGATACTACTTACTATGCTTATTTTATCTAGTAGTTGTACCCTCTTGGAGAGCACTAAACAGCTGGACCAGAGATAATAGTTTAGGTTTGACCTAACCTGTTCTACAGTGTGATAAAGACCATCCCAGGAAAAAAAAAAAGCTTTTAAAAATTTCTTTTATTACAATTTATTCACTTTGTATCCCAGCTGTGACCTCCTCCCTCATCTCCTCCCAATCCTGCCCTCCCTCCCTCTTCTCCTCCCCTACAGAATAAAAGCTTTAAAGCTGTCCTGAAGAATCCCTTCAGTGGTACTTTCTTGCATATGTTTCGCTTCAGCAATCCACCTGGGTATGTTTCTGATTTTTTCTCATGGAGACCTGTGCTTTCCTTTATTCACATGAATATTAGAGTTGATGTTAATTATTTATCATTCATTATTGTTTTACCTATACACAGTTAAATGTGTAGTCAGAATGCTGAGAAAGAGTAGGAGAGGGGGATTTGGAGAGGAGGGAGTATGTTTCCTGTGCTGGAGATAGAATCCAGGGCTCTGTATACACTAAGCTACATTCCTCCCCAGCCCAAATTTCATTTTAGCCCAGAGTTAAGAATCAAATTACCAACATACATATACACAGGCAGACAGTTTAGTTTGTAGACTATTGGGGTTGAGAGTCGTACAGAATGGAGGGATGTTAAACTCATATTCGTAAAAATTAAGATTGATCAGGTACAGTTTTACTGCTGACAGTGGCAGTGGACTAGGTAAATCTGACTAGAAGTCCATGAGTCAAGCTCACTAAAGGTAAGCAGTGCGGATGGAAACATTTTTAATCCCTGCCCCCACTCATCTCACATTTCTCCCAATTGCTGGTGGAAAAAAGGGACTTCCCAGAGGAGCTTGTCTGCACTGGCCACCATCACTGGCAGTTGTGTAAACAAAGTAGAATTATATGAAAAATAAAACTTCAAAGGGTGCCTCTTAGCTCGAGAGACTTGGTGAGGTAAGTCACCTTGCAGCCACTCAGCATCACTAGCCAGCCTCCTCATGGTCTTCATCGTGTCCCTAGGATAACTCTGCATTGTTAGTCTAGAAAAAAAAAATTGAGCCTGCCACTGATGGTTTAATTGCCCTTCTTTGTTACCCTTAGGCTTTGTTCTGTCCTTGAGATGTGCAGATCAGAACTGCTTATGTAACATTACCAATGAAGATGTCCTGTGGTTCTCTGTAAAAGGAAAATTATTTTGTCTTTTAATCTCCTTCTTGACAGTGCCCAACATTTTGTTGGCCTTTTTTTTTTTTTTTTTTTTTTTCCATAGCAGGATACTAAGTTGTTCTCTTCAGGGCACTGTCTTCAGGTTTTCTTAGAGCTCCTTGCTGGGTCTTAAGTGAAAGATCATCATTTACCAACCTGCAAGTATAGTTTGGAATATCTGGCTCTCTCTAAGTGGATCACCTTACACGTGCCCCTATTGAATCACCTGCCAATCATAAAGCCTCCTGAGATTTTTCCTTATCCTCCATTAGCTTGGCATTTCATTGCCTAGGAAAAAACATGAATATTACGTACAGACTTGAGGATCTCCTGAAGGAAGGCTACTATTTATCCTTCAGTCATAAAAAAAAGTCTCCCCCCCATATTTTATTTTTTATTTTATGTACACCAATTTTTTATAAATTATTTTTTAAAAAGTTAATGTCATGGCAATTCATGTTTAAAATAGCCTTGCTATTAAACATAATTAGAAGCATTTTAAAAGTAAATATAGCCCCAAGATTACATATGATTTTTCTTCACACAATCTATTCTGCCACAGACATCCTGCTAGACTGATAGCTTTTGTGTATGGCAGACTAGCATTCATTGAAGAGTCTTCTAGCTTGCTGACTAAAGAACCAGATACTCATGAGTTTCTACATCTGGGGATTGCAATGCAGGCAGTAATGACCCAGAATAACAGGCTCCAGGTTTTCATGAGAACCACAGTGATTGTTTCCCTTACTTTTCTTCAGAAGTCAAATCTGTTGAGGTGCCTCTCATCACATGGATGTCAGAAGTCTTCCTATGCCAAATATCTGCCCCTCCATTGTTGACTTAAACCTGACATTCCTGTAACAGGAAAGAGAATTTTTTTTCTATTTTTTTTAAAGCCCCTAAATGAGGTTTTGGTGCAATCTCTCCTCCCCAATCCTACGAGAAGTAGGCATTTCATTTGATGGACATCAGACTTGGCAAAGGTTGGAGTGTCAGCTTCTTGGCTGTCGGGTGGTCAGACAGTAGAGCTCAAGGGGGAAAGTAGTACTGAGAAAACAAAACAATCTCTGACATCTAAATAGCTTTGCTAAGTTTTAGCAGTCCTAGTAAACATGCCTCTCAGCCCTAGTAATTACCCTCTGAGTGCTTCTACCTAACATGGTTTGAAACTAGAGTCCCTTACAGTTAGCTATTGTTAAGCTGACCCATCTGCCTACCTCACAAGAAACTTGACAAAGGAATGGTAGACCTTTGGGAAACCTGTCTGCTGTGTCCTTTCCACCTGTTTTGTTCTGTAAGCCCACTGGTTCTCTGGCTCAGCCCTCACTACAGAGATGGAAAGCAGCTTATTACTGGGTCACGTGGGTGATGCTCAGATTCTGGGTTGTCTCTCAGTTGCTAGTTTGTTCCTGGGCTGATTTTCTCTGTGAGATTCACTGAAACTGTTTCCATTCTTTCTGCATTCTCTTTTCTTCTCCCTTTTTCTCATTTCCCTCTGTTTCTTTCTTCTCTTTCTTTTTAAGAAAAAAAAATGCCTTTTCCTATAATCCTTTGCCATCTTTGTCTCCCCCCTCCCTTATTTAAAACTTTTTCTTGTAATAGACTGGATATGGAAATATCACATGAATATTTTCTAATAATAGCAAAAAAAAAATACCTGTAGTTTTTTTGGAAATGACAGTTTCATATTTGCTATCTCTTGGTCATTTGACATTAAAGGCACAGGTCCTTGATTTACACAAGCTTCCTGTAAGTTTTATGGGTACCAGTAGAGTTGGCATTGTAAGTAAAGCCTTTTATCAACCAACATAAAGGAATAGTAGTGGCATTACTCATGTCACCATGTCTCTTCCTCAAATGGAAGCTTGTGGCTCCAGTATAGAGATTTTATATAAGCCAAAATAATAATTCCACTGAAATCACCCCCAACCTGGGACACAATCCCATCCCATACTCACAAAGTTTGGAGAAAAAAAAATATTAAGCATTGTCATCTAAAAATGCAAATAAAGCTGGAGCTATGGCTTCATGGTAGAGTACTTGCCAAACATACATGAAACGCTGCGCTCTCTCTCTCTCGCTCTCTCTCTCTCTCTCCCTCTCCATACATACAGACACAAGGAGGTACTGCTCTGCCTGTATTTAGCCTGCTTGATCTCTAACTATATGTGAATATGATGCAAGATTCTCTTAAAAACAATTTGCCTGTTGCCTAAACTGCTGTGTATGTTGATGACTTTGGGAGCAGTCACAGTCAAGAACTGTACAAGAGAAGGACAAAAACAAGTACTTCTTTTGACAAAGTAGGTTTTGATAACCAGTAATGGCAGAGTGAGCTAACTGCTTGCCTACTGTGAACGGCCATAACATATGCATGAATAAATTCAGAGTTGTGCTAGTATTTCTTAGTTTGTATCCTGTCATTTTGCACCCCTAAGAACCAGCAATCATTCCTCATGACAATATCTGCTTGTCTAATAGAAAAACTATATTTAAGGTACTTATAATATGTGTGGGTGCATGTACTGAAGTTGACAGTAAAACATTTCAAAAAAAAGTTACAATTTTAGGACTGCAGATAAAGGTCAATTGGCAGTGCTTGCCTGCCTGCGTGCATGAAGCCTTGGATTTTTGTCCTCAGCACTGCATAAGGCAGGTGTGGTGCCTGACACATTACATATAGGTGTCATCCTAGCCCTTGTAGGGACAGTAGGCTAGGAATTCAAGTTATCCTTCACAGAGAGTTATCACACAGAGAGTCTGAGGCCATCCTGAACTACATGAGACCCTATCTCAAAGGAAAAAAACAAATGTTTTATTAAGAATATTCAACTGCTCAGCTTTGAGATAAACACAGATACTGCATAAATACATCATCAAAAGAAGACACTGTTGAGCAGGTTCTCCATTAAGATGACTTAAACTGCAGTTCTCATTCAGTAACGGCCTGTGCCCATGTATGAAGATTTTGCTAAAGAGAAATGTCAACCTATTCTGAGAAATATTCTTATTCCGGTGAAGTATGGTTTTTATGTTATTCATTAAATAAAAATCTACCCATAATTGGTCCTATGTCCTGTGGCTTATATTATGTAACTCGAAAACCCTGGTCTCAGTCAAAGACCACTAATCTAAAGAAAAATCCAATCCCTCAGAGACTTGAATGAATTTTTAAACTCGTAATCTTTTTTAAAGATTTATTTTTTTATTTCTAATTGTGTGTATATATGTATATGGGTATGTGCACATGATTGCAGATGCCTGCGGAGGCCAGAAAATGTTGAATCCTCTGGAGCTGGAGTTACAGGTTGTTGGGATGTTGTCCCACATGGGTGCTAGGAACTGAACTCCGGTCCTCTGCAAGAACCATCTTTCCAGCTGCTCTACTAGACTCAGCTTAATGTTTTTACCTCTTTCCATTTATACTTTTCTATTTTAATTTGAACTTTTTTGCAGTGTTGGGAAATCA